AACGATTCTGTTTTACACACCGATAAAGATACGTATGCACTTATCTGTGCGTGCGTTTCTCGACGTAAACGACAAAGAAAATCGTTACGCGAATCTGCGATTACGATCTTGAGAACCTATTTGTATGTGTATTTCTTTCTTTCTTTCTTTTTTTTTTTTTTAATATTTGCGCACGCCTTCAAACGCACCGCGTTCACGAAACCTAACGGAATATGCAAAACTTCCTAATTGGATCCGCTTGTAAGGTAACTTCGAATGGTGGTAGTAGTAGTAACAGCAGTAGTAGTAGTAGTTTGCAGCATCCAGAGATTAAGTCTCGTTACTGAATCGCATTTTCCTACTATGGGTCGGGGAGCTTGAACTTTCACAATGACAGAATTTAAAGGGAGAGAAAGATAGAGAGGAAAAGAGAAAGAGAGAGAGAGAGAGAGAGAGAGAGAAAGAGATTAAAGACGTTTTCTTTAAATCGTCAACGTTTGTTTGGTGAATCTCGAAGTGAATAGACGATAAATTAAAAAATTGAAGGGTGAGAAAAGTGTACCGAGATAATATTTTCCTAATCTCATACATCATACTCCATTCTTTATTCTTCCGTATGATTAATTTCTCAATAATAAATGAGTAGATCGTTATCACGATGAAGAAGGTTCGTTATGTGTGTTATACGTGTTATTGATCCGTCGACGGTGAACTTCAATAAGGAAATAGAGTAGAGTTAATTTCGTAGCTATCAAAATTGGGTATCATAAATTTCGAAAGAGCTACTAATAGCAAATATCGAAGATACATGTCGTGGTTTGTGCGAAATGTATCCTTCTTCGTAGAACGCGTGGAAAGTTAATTTCCTTGAGATACACAGCTACACGATGTAATTCTAACGAGACCACACAGAGAGATCGTTCCCAGACCGTCGCTTGATATGCGGATAGTATCATAAAAAATGTATGGAAACCGTCGTCCTCTTCCCGTTCAGAATGTTCACAGTTTTCCCAGATATTCTGCAATCCCCATCGATTCACATCGATGTTCATTCGTACCGAACGGCTGCCAAACGACCGTTTAAAAAAATGATGTTACTCAGCTGCGTGGAAAAAAGGAAAAAGAAGAGAGGGAGGAGGAAACTGGCGAAACTATATTTACGAGAGTCATAAAAGCGTTTAGCTTTAATGCGATTAGTACGAAACATTCAGGGCTCATGTTCTCATGTGCAGGCTTCTCTCGCAAGCCTTCCTTCGTCCTGAGACGAAGATGCGCTTTGAAAAATTCATTCCATTCCAAAGTGAGAAGCCTAGCAAGAGAGAGAGAGAGAGAGAGAGAGAGAGAGAGAGAGAGAAACTTGAATGAAAATTCCCTGTTAACATCCTTTCCGATCCACTGACCTAGCAAGCTATATCATGAGTCTTTCGGTAGCCGAAACGGGTCTTCTTGGCTCGCTAAGTCTTCAAGTTTCGACGTGGAATGCGCAATCGATCGTCGTAGTTTAACTCGAAAGTCGGCAACCGACTCTACTTCTTTGATTATGCGAAGAGTTTTACGACGGACTTGCTGAGGAGCAAGGAGAACGAAATGAAGAAGGACAGATAAAGAAAGAGAGAGTAGGAAAAGTCAGTAAATTCTGGACCTTCGACTTTATTGGAATTTTAAGGCAGATGATCGATTTCAAACATCGGAAAAACGAGCTTATTGAAATATGATCTGGAGATTCGTTTCTTCTTCGTTGTATTTTTATAAACGCAATTATATCCTTAGAATTTTTTTTTATTATCTTATGCACAATTTACTTTGAATGCCATTTAGATTTCAACCAAAATAATTCGCGTATTCAATGATTAATAAAATGTGTTGTGCAGTACACGAATATTATTAGGTGTTGGAATTAATTCGTAGCGTTTTACAAGTGATGGGAAGTACTTTCATTAATGTATTTTTTAATGCTCATGTGAAATAAATAACATTCTTTCATTAAAAACGCTACGAATTAATTCCAACACCTAATAAATTAATTTTCAAAATTTTCAATGGAGATAATCAAGAAGATTAAAATTCTAATTGAACGTATAAGTCGCGTCTCTTTGTTTCTTTGTCACTTGAACATTAAGGAACAGGAATAGAGGAAATTAAATCCGATCCAATTTACAACTTTGATTACCGACATTAGGTGTTCATCTCCAACCATTTCTCTATCTCATCTCTGTGCATTTCTCTCTCTCTCTCTCTCTCTCTCTCTCTTTCTCGTTCGTTTTCTCTCTACCATTCAAATCGCGCGATTAAGCGTAAATCGTGAGCAAGTATCTACGATACATCTAGGCCGCTCAAGCTACGACTAAGATCCTTTCGGTATTTCCATTTACGTTTGTTCCGTACAGAAATCCTGAGACTCACTTCATCACGATTATAAACTACGGTCTCTCTAAGTAATCACCGCAGATAAAATCTCCAACTTCTCCGAATAAATAAACTGAAGAGGCTAGACTCTCCGAGCATGTACAGCAATGAAAATCGTCGGAAATGTAAGATCTGAGAACTCCAAGAACGCGCGAGTAATTATATATATAAATGAGCCTATATACATATAGTAATGATACATATATAGAACCCCTTTAGTCTATAACAAGCAGCTCGAGTAATACACGTGACTTCACAATCATTATTTTTATCATCTATCGCCCTTGCACGTTGTTCGCGCCTTTAATCACATCCAACGCCTATTCATTTATTCATTCATCTAACATATAGAGATAATTCAAGAATTCTCGAGGATTCGAGAGAGAAGACCACCCCTGAGCGAGGCATGAAATATTCGATCCGAAAGTATTTTCTCTCCCTCTCTCTCTAACTATCTATCTATCTATCTCTCTTTCATTCGGTTAGCCAAGATTCCTCGGTGGCACTTCGCCCGACTCGTTAGTCATGGTAGTTAGTCATGCTACGTGCATCTCGTCTCGAGAACGACCAAGAGGAAGACGAGGGAGGCGGAGAGGCGCTTCATTCCAAGAGGGGTTAGCGGGACCAGAGCTACCCTAAGAGGGATAAAGGCTTCGGCAAACGTCCTTCCTCGCTTCCTCCATTTCCTCTTCTCAGCCGCGAGTATCCCCCTTTTCACCCCTCGAAACCGCACTTCGGAGACTTCGATGCGTTTGAGGCGTGCCGCTGCTGCACGGTGGCTATTTTTGTATGTACATACAGCCTGTGTAACATGTCGGATGCATATAGTTGGCGTCAGAACGGTCGAAAAGAACTTTTTTTCTTCGCTCCGTAGGAAATACTCCCTCTCGAGTTTATTTCCATGTAAATTAAAGAACGGTAACAGGTGTATCAGATTGTTAAGATATTAATAAGATAGTTTCAACATTCTGGCCGATAAATCACCGTGCGCACTGCGCATTCAATTTATTATTATAACGACCTTATTATTATCACCTTCGTGATTTATATAGAAGTAAGCCTACGGAAAAGTTTCCTGCTAAGTAAAAAAAGTGTTCGAACGCCGTTCCAACGCCGATAAATCACGACGTAACCCTCACGTGCGTAAACGTCCATATGCGAGTGCTCGTTTTACTTGTTTCCCTGTACGTGCGTGCGAGATATGCGTGTGTGTTCCACGGCGCCGGTTTCATAACGGCAATACCATCGTTCCCGAAATATTCCCGGCGACTCGAACTCGGAGGAACTCGGGTCGTTCGAGAGACTAAGAATAAAGGCGATTAGGTGAGTCGCTGCAATAAAGATAAGCCGACGGAAAATAGTTCGCACAAGGAAACACCTCGTCTGCGTTATGAGACCGGCACGTGATTCGTATTGCTCGTATGTGTCGTTCTTACCCTGTCTCCACCCTCGTCCGAACGTCTCCCCGTGTTCTCCAGTTGCCTTGCGTCTTTTCAAGCTTGAAAAAAAAAAACAGAAGACCAAAGTACCGTTCTCTCGTCGCGTGGATGTAATGCAATGTACCTTCTCACTACTTTGCTTCGTGCACCCTCGTATCTTCGTAGCAAATCTGAGTTAACTTGCATTCTCGGCAGAACGTTGATCGATGTGTCGATTGAAGAGATGAAAAACTGAAAAAAAAAAAAAAAACAGAAATCACGATTACTTTTGTATTGTAGTTTATTTATGTTAAAAATCTGGAGCTGGAAATAATTCAACGTGTCTTACGCAAGCGCTTTGTTTTTTTTGTAAATGTGTGAGATAATATACTTAATTTTAATAAAAGCGAAAAATGATTTTTTTTTGCTGTTAAATGAAACAATATATTTATAATTATTTATTGTTAACATTATATTTATATTAAAATTATCGTTTCATTTGTATATATATATAT